ACTGTTAGGCTCCGAGGACGTTCAGCAGGACTGGAAGAAATAAAAAGGCCTCTCTTTCTGCCTCCAATTCCCCGTTTCTCTTCTCCTGTTTGTCTGAGGCTCCCTGGGAAGGGATCAGAGGCTGGGCTTTTTCTGAAAGGCTGCCTAGGGGCCTGCCTTTTATGCCAATAAATGTTTTATCATCGTTAAGCTTCAAAGGCATTAGCAGTGGGTTCTGTTAACATTTGGCGAAATGAAAGAGAGCAGGAGTCGGAGGGAAGGGGGGAGCGGTGGGCTGCCTTTGTGCCCTAGATGGGAGGCTTCCTTTGATTGTCGGGGGGGGGGCTCCTCCCCCCGGGGGGGCAGATCTGAGTGTTTTTTCCGCTTTATTCCTTCTGCCTACGAAATCATGTCAGAAAGAGCAGGGTGGCTTTCTTTCGCTCCTTTCCTGTTCGTTAAGAACATGGGAAGGAAACTGCCTTCTACTGAGTCAGCCCACTGGTCCATTAGCTCAGTAATGTCTGCACAGGCTGGCAGCAGCTCTCCAAGTCTTCAGGCAGGGGTCTATCCCAGCCCTAACTGGAGATGCCAGGGATTGAACCATGGACCTTCTGCATGCAAAGCAGGTGCTCTACAGATGAGCTACTGCATTTCTCTTTTATGCCTTGTTTTGCATTCCTTGATAGCTAAAAGGGGCCCTAAATGGCCGACTGGTGTACTTCACACAGCCCACTCTGAGATTTGGGCCCAATGGCCAGTATAATACAGCTCCTTACATTTCTAAAAATCTAGGGGCCTGGACATCACTCTTCCTCATTTTACATGGCATACATGAAGACCCATTGTGTAGCCCAGGCTACACCCATTGTGTAGCCCAGATGTTTTGGGACTACAATTCCCACCATCGCTAGCTAACAGGACCAGTGGCCAGGGATGATGGGAGTTGTAGTCCCAAAACATCTGGAGGGCCGAGTTTGCCTATACCTGGTGTAGCCTCTCTTTTCTGACAGTATTCATGTTTCAGTTCTCCTTGGAGATTCAATGTTCTCCATCTTCTTATAACTCAGATGGGTCTGCTTTTATTCTGTTACTTCATCTTTTAGAATTCCTCATCCTTCCATGTCAATTCTCTGATTGTGTGTGTGTGTGTGTGTGTGCGCGCGCGCATGCACGCACGCACGCGCTCACACCTAAAAATATAAAAATGAAAGTAATCAGAAAGTAATACAGAAAACCTTGCCCAACGCAGACAGGGCATCATTTCATATTTCAGCTGCTAGAGGCCAGGTTCTCCAGTATTTTTAATTGGATAAATTGATTCAAGTTACAAGAAAAGAGACCCCCAGCTAAACATCAAGAATAACTTTCTGATCATAAGAGCTGTTCAACAGTAGAGCACACTGCCTTGGAAGGTGGTGGGTGCTCCTTCCTTGGAGATTTTTTAAGTAGAGGTTGGGTGGGCATCAGTCATGGATGCTTCAGCTGCCATTCATTCATTGTAGAGGGTTGGGCTAGATGACCCTTGGGTCCCTTTCCACTCTACAGTTCTATGGTTTTATCTCCCATGTAGGTAAGCATGAGGCTTTAGCAGAGTCCAAACACACATTTCAGTCAGGCAAGAACATTCAAGTGAAGAAGGGTCATGATGGAAGTAGCCTGGGGAGTGTTTTGACTGAAGGCCCAATAGAGAGGTTGTAGGGAGTAATGGAATAAAGGACATGAGCAGCGTTTGTGAAATTATGTGTGGTGGAACTGGATAGCGGAAGCCCTTTACTTCCCCTCTCAAAACACCGGATCATCCTGCAAAACCAAGCAGCAGGCTGGTGATTCAGGACAGACAAAAAGGAAAGCGCTTCTTCGCACAACGCAGAATTCACTTTGTTGTTGTTGTTGTTTAGTCGTTTAGTCGTGTCCGACTCATCGTGACCCCATGGACCAGAGCACACCAGGCACCTCTGTCCTCCACTACTTCCCGCAGTTTGGTCAAACTCATGCTGGTAGCTTCGAGAACACTGTCCAACCATCTCGTCCTCTGTCGTCCCCTTCTCCTTGTGCCCTCCATCTTTCCCAGCATCAGTAGGGAACCAAAATGTGCCAATGGGACCTGCTGGCTTAAATTGCTTTAAAAGATGGTTAGACACATTCATGGATAATGAGTCTATCAACAGTTATCCTCCTTGCTGGCTTAATGGATGCTCCCAGTTTAGAGGCATTATGTCACCAGATTCTGGTGGCTGGTGGGCAGTAATGGTGAAGGACAATTTCCTTTCTGCCTGCCAGAAGCATCTGATCGGCTGCTGTGGGAAAGAGGTTGTTGGACCAAGTTGACCCTTAGTCAGATCCAGCAGCCCTCTTCCTTATAGTCTTACGAACACAGCGACATTCTTTTCCAACTTGGGACGTGACTGGATGCAAACAGGAGTTAAGAGCCCCTGGGGAATTCACAGGATTCATAATTGACTTCCTGAGGCTTTACCTCCCAGAAGATTATATATTGGTCTAAGGAAAATAAATAAAACTCATGTAGAGAAACGAAACAGAAAAGCCGTTCCACCTTGCTCAGAATAACAAGGAGGTGATGCTGTTAATTATTTGCTTTAAAATAAAATAAAAATAAAAACAGGATACTAATTGCTAATCTTCCCTAGATCTCTGCTGATTTCATAAAAATTATTCATGCACCTCAACAAGAGGAGTTTCTATGGAAACCGAGAAACTGAACTTTCATTAGGAAACCTACCAAAAAAAATAAATATGCCCAGCTAAAAATGTAAATTGCCCTTTCGCGGGAGGATATATGAATATCCTTCTTTCTTTCCCCAACCCCCTTTCCATTCTGCATCGTGGGCAGATCCCAGCTGGACTCTTACATGGCAACAACATGAAGGCATTGTTTACTGCTTGCCAGACTCTGTGGGGATATGTAAAATTCTGCCAGAGCTCAGCATCTCTCAAGGGGTGGGTTCTCCAGGGAAACAAAGTGTTCAGTGCTATATGTCATACCAGCTTTAGGGAGTCAAAAATACGAAGCTGCAAAAAAATGGAAAAAAAGAGTTCTTGAGACTGTAATCCTTCAGCCCAATCCTGAGACCCAGGAAGCTCTCAGCATTTTTATATCCTGGGCTGCTTCCACAATGGGCATTTACTTTGGAATAACAGGGCATCTGAACAACGCCATGAACAAAACACCCCGTGTTTTTGCTTCCATTCATCATTGAGGTGGGTAGGTTCTGAGCTCAGAAAAACCAGTGGTTTCTTTTATAAACACACACACACACACACACAATGGAACAGCTGGATGATTTCCCCAGGTGTAGATGACTTCTTGCGCAGCTATTCTGTCCAGCTGTGGTCTAGCTTTTTCCTAAATTGATCTAGCCATTTCAGCTCTTATCTCCACAACCTTTCCCTTTCCAAATTGAATGCCTTTATATCCCTTTCTGTTATCTCCACCCGCCTTTAAAATGCAGTGGGGGAGCAGAATCACACACACACACACACACGAAACCTGGGAACTGTAGTTTGAGGTTCCTGGGAATTGTAGTTCTGTGAGGGATAAACTACAGTTCCCTGGGCACATTTTTTGGGGTGAACAATTTAAATGTACGGTATGTATACAGCCATAATCCCCCTGGGAAAGGATTTTGTCCCCCAGTGCCGCACCACTATTCCAAGCAGTGGTTTCTTTCCTAGTTTCAGTCAGTAGGAAGGTCAGGCTGGTTTCACTAAGTCCTGGATGCAAAAAAGAGGAGGGGACAGACGGGGGGGGGGAGAAGAAGAAGAAGAGTTTGGATTTGATATCCCGCCTTTCACTCCCTTTAAGGAGTCTCAAAGCGGCTAACATTCTCCTTTCCCTTCCTCCCCCACAACAAACACTCTGTGAGGTGAGTGGGGCTGAGAGACTTCAGAGAAGTGTGACTAGCCCAAGGTCACTCAGCAGCTGCATGTGGAGGAGCGGGGAAGTGAACCCGGTTCACCAGATTACGAGTCTACCACTCTTAACACTTGCTCTCAGTGTGGGGAGAAGAAAAACACAGCAGGGAGTTTCTAAATAAATGATAAACTGAGCATAGGTATCATATACCGTATTTTTTGCTCTATAAGACTCACTTTTTCCCTCCTAAAAAGTAAGGGGAAATGTGTGTGCGTCTTATGGAGCGAATGGAGGCTGCGAAGCTATCCCAGAAGCCAGAACAGGAAGAGGGATCGCTGCTTTCACTGGGCAGCAATCCCTCTTGCTGTTCTGGATTCTGAGATTCAGAATATTTTCTTTCTTGTTTTCCTCCTCCAAAAACTAGGTGCGTCTTATGGTCTGGTGCGTCTTATAGAGCGAAAAATACGGTATGTCCTCCTTTTGCCATCTATTTACCTAAAAAGTTACACAAATTTACAGTTTCTTGTGCTTTATTACGCCGACACATTACGGCTGCACTACATCCCATACTGCTGTTACCAGCTGCAACTGGAAAAAGGTACCCACCCTGGAGAACTAGATAATAAAAATATGGGGTATAGTTTAAAATGTCCCCACCTTTTTAAAGTGGCACATCCTGCCCGGCCACTGTGCTTGAAGAAGCAGGCCTGCCACCAGGATGTAAGGTGTGATGGATTGCATCAGACTTCCCCAACCCGGTGCTCTCCAAATGTTTTATCCTGCATCTCCCAACAGCCCCAGAAAGCATGTCCAATAAATGGCCATGGTGTGGGTGTGTGTGTGTTTTAATGCATGCTCAGGCTGTCCTCATGCTTATTCAGTGAGGCCAGCAGGATTCCACAAGGCTTCTTAGTTCTGGGACAGATGAGACTAAACATACTCCCGGCTGGCAGGCCAGATGGTCCAAAACCATGGTGTGTGATGGTCCAAAACATCTGGATGGTTGGAGCAGGATGCTGTTGGAGGATGAGCAAGGTGACTCTGCAGAAGGCAACTTCCTATTTTCCTGTCTGGTTCCCTTGCCGGACACACTACTGAACGGCTTGGTTTTATTATGTGCTAACACTGGGTTGCTTTTCCTTGGCAGGGGCTGGTGCTGAACAGGCTCGGGCGGAGAAACTTGGCTCAGAAGGTTCTGCAGGACGCAGTCCAGGTACAGAGCACCAGCCACAAAGCCTGGAACAGCCTTGGAGAAGTGCTTCATGCTCAGGGGAAAAACGAAGCAGCTGTGGAGTGCTTCCTGACGGCTCTGGACCTCGAATCCAGCAGCCCCATCGTGCCATTCACCGGTCATCCCCAGGGAACTGTGATGGCGTAGAATTTCTTCCATGCACATGCGTTCCGTGGAGGTAGTTCCAACAGCACACATATCAAATAAGCAATTTGTTTACAGTGCAATAAATATATATATACGTGGCTCCTTTTGTTAACCTAGAATTTAGAAACCTTTACCCAAGGAAGTGGCTCTATTTCAGGGATAATGCGTTTTCCCAACATGCAGATTGCAAGATATATTATTGTTGGTGGGGAAATGCGATTATTTTTCTGGCTGCTGGGGCTGCTGCAATATGCAGTGCTGCCTTGAACTTCCCTTCACCCAAAAACACGAGCCATCCAGAATGCATGGCAGTGCAGCAGGCGCTTGTATACTCTCCTGTCCTTTCTTCAGATTGCAAAAATGGAACATTTGATGGCAGATTGGGGAGTGGGGAGTGTATGTCACACGCCTGGCAGGTCACAATTTCCTTGGCTGAATCAGCTTGGTGGGTTTTGCAAGCCTAACATAATGCAGTTCTGCGCATATTGTTGGCACCTATTGGATAGTGTCTGTGACATTGCTGATGAGCAATACAAGGCCTTTCCCAAGTCTGCATCATGCTGTCATCTTTACACCACCTCTAAGCAAGAAAAATTGCATGAGCTGTAAAACTAACTAGTATGAAGACTCAGGGTTTGTGTGGGTGAGGGAACCTTGCCAGTTCACTCTTGGCATAAGACTTCTGGGTTGCTTTACTCAGAAAAGGGGAAAGTACTTCTGCAAATCCTGGAGTTTTCCCAACCTGACTGATACCTCCTCCTTGTGCATGGATGGATGCTGGTGATTTCAACTACATAAGCCAGAGGTGGCCTGGTGGACCAAATCTTTTATCTCCTACCACCCCACCAGCCAACTTTGACAGCTGGGCGGGGACACCCACTTGTCAATCACCTGATGTCACAATGGCGTTCGGCTGATGAGTGGGCAGTCCCATCGCCTGTCAAAGTTGACCTGCAGGGTGGGAGGAGGGGTCTGCTTCGCTGGTGTTTTTCCCCAGAGGGAACATTATGGAGAAGCAGCACCCAGCAGGATTGAACCCCAGTAATGTCACCAATTGACATATAGGTGTGGTTTGGTGGGGGAAATGGCCTCAGAGGGAGAAATGTATCCCTCCCTACCACGCTGGTGGGACAAGATCAGCCAAGCCTCCGGAGGTTTCCCCTGATACAAACAATGGCCCCCACCTCTGAACAGTGGGAATAGAGGGGGAGATAGTTTCAGTAATGTTTAGAACTGCAGACTTGTTCATGGCTTTGCTCCTCTCGCTTTAATAGCAATTTTCCTGACACACTAAAATTAAGCAGGTGAAGCCTTTCCCCATCAACAGCACCCTGAAAGGAAGGGCTTCCTTCTCTCTTTAGTTTATGTTTGTCAGACTGTAGTTTACATGACCTGGCCATATTCCTGCATTGAAGAGGATTGGTCTAGACAACCTTCCAGCTCTACAATTCTAGGATTCTATTTGGCCCTGCTCCACAGCACCAGCTGCCTTTCTTCCAGATATCAATGCCATCTAAACAAATGGACTAGGCCCAAGCACGGCTTTTATTTTCCAAGGGTGTCTGATGGATTGTGAAGAGGCCTGTTTTAAAAAGTAGGACACAGAGGGGGCACTATGCCCCAAGTGCCCATCTCCCCCTCAAAACCAAGATTTGTTCCGTTCTGAATGTGTGCAATTTTCTGAAGGAATTTATCACGTTGTGCAGGTTCACAGAACCAAAGAGTTGGAAGGCCGCTTAATCCAACCTCCCTGTGCTCAGTGGAGGAGGTTGTAACTACTGCAAGACCCCTGATGGATGGCCATCCAGCCTTTGCTTAAACACCGACAGCGAAGGAGAGCCCATAACCTTCTGAGGCAGAATCTGTTCTACGCTCAAACAGCTCATAAGAACATAAGACGATCCTGTTGGATCAGGCCAGTGGCCCACCTAGTCCAGCATCTCGTTCTATTACTGTAAGGAAAGGTTCTTCCATCATTCAGCTGACTTTCCCATTCATTTGTTCTTCCCTCCGGAGGAACAGAGAAGTCTGCTCCATCCTTCAGTAGCAGTCCTTTAATTATTTGGAGGCAGCTATTGTCATGTCTCCCTTTAACCTTGTTTTCTCTAAACATACCCAGCTCTTTCCACCATTGCTCACAGAACTTAAGTTTCCAAAACCAATTGTCATCCTAGGTTAGAAGTGTTCCGGTTTGTCAATCTCTTCCTTAAAATATGGCGCCCGGAACTCCCCCAGCTTTTCAACAAAGCCTCCAGATTGAGGTTACACAAAGATGTACACACATAGGAAGAGAAATAAAACGGGTCTGCTTTGGCTGCTTACTCTGAAAGAAGCCCATAGGCCTTAATAGGGTTACTCAAGGGACTGTGCTGTCAAAGCACACAGACATTAGGCGCCTCTGTGCTAATGACATTGAGCCGCAAGACTGAATTTTGGATATCAAAACTAAGGGCCTTTGTCAGTTCACGTTTTCCCTGTTGTTAATATTTGATTCTGTTTTAGGTATTCGTTGCAAGGAAAAATACCTGATTGTATAATTTGACTGAGCTTTGTTTTTTAGTGATTATACTTTAGATAACATTTATGTTTTTAGGATAGGTAGGTAGAATATATATGTCTGTGTTTTACTTTGATGCTGTACATCATAGGACAGTTATCCATCCATCTCTTTATGTAGCATTAGACAGCCATAATTAAGCACTTTGGTAATTTGTTGACTTCACTGGGAGACTTAATCATGGGGCTAAGTCCCTTCATTGAAATCAAAACTGTCAAAACATACTGCATCATACCCCTAGGTGGTGGTGGTGGTTTTAATGAGTATATAAAGTGTTAAATATGTTGACTCATGGAAGTTTCTGCCTAGGGTTCTATATCTGCATTGTTGCCTTAAATCAGGGATGGGGAACCTGTGATCCTCTAGATCAGGTATAGGCAACCTTCAGCCCTCCAGATGTTTTGGCCTACAACTCCCATGATCCCTAGCTAACAGGACCAGTGGTCAGGGATGATGGGAGTTGTAGTCCAAAAACATCTGGAGGGCCGAAGGTTGCCTATACATGCTCTAGATGTTGTCATCCAAGAGCATTGTCCATGCCAGTTGGTGCTGATGAGAGTCCCTGCCTTAAATTATTGCACCATGGCCTAGCAGAGGGAGAAGATGCAGCATTGGCCAGAAAGAGCACTGTTGCAACTAGGCTGGAGGCAGCTCCATTTGGCAGAGCTCTAAAACCTCAGCAGGGCCTTTCATCCAGTCCATTAATGATGATGATGATGATGATGATGATGATGATGATGATGATGATAATAGGGATGCGGCTGGCGCTGTGGGTTAAACCACAGAGCCTAGGACTTGCCGATCAGAAGGTCGGCAGTTTGAATCCCCGCAGCAGGGTGAGCTCCCTTTGCTCGGTCTCTGCTCCTGCCAACCTAGCAGCTCGAAAGCACGTCAAATTGCAAGTAGATAAATAGGTACTGCTCTGGCGGGAAGGTAAACGGCGTTTCCGTGCGCTGGTCTGGTTCACCAGAAGCGGCTTAGTCATGCTGGCCACATGACCAGGAAGCTGTACACCGGCTCCCTTGGCCAATACAGCGAGATGAGCGCCGCAACCCCAGAGTCGGCCACGACTGGATCTAATGGTCCTTTACCTTATTATTATTATTATTATTATTATTATTATTATTATTATTATTATTATTTTATATCCCGCCCTCTCCAGCTGAAGCCGGGCTCAGAGTGGCTAACAACAGTAAAAATATCACAGTTTACATAAAATCACAATCAATTAATTGAAATACATTCTAAAATCATTTCATTCTAAAATCAATTCAGAGTCAAATTAATGGCAACCATTGGGCTAGAGTTCTATGAGGAGTACAGAAGGAGGGGGTCAGGCTGTGCCTTGGCCAAAGGCCTGGTGGAACAGCTCTGCCTTGCAGGCCCTGCGGAAAGATGTCAAGTCCCGCAGGGCCCTAGTAGACATGGCAGGGCACAAAGAGGGGCAAGAGACATGAGGATGCTGTTTTGGAAAGCAGCGGCGCATTTCTTACAATGTTGAGTGGCATCCTAAGAACACTTCATGTACATGCAGTAGCTGGGCTACTAAAGTCAAGTGAGCATCGCTGAGGAGTAACATAGATGTTCAGCTGCTGTCAGGGAGGGATGTTTGTCAGCAATGGGGAGCTTTTTGAGGGCAAAACGAAAAATCTCCCACAACATTCTGTGAACCCACTGCAGGGTGTTACAATAACCCATGTAGCCCGGCAACATCTAAAGCAGGGTTTCCCAAACTGGGGTCTCCAGCTGTTTTTGGACTAGAAGTCCCATCATCCCTAGCTAGCAGGACCACTGTTCAGGGATGATGGGAATTGTAGTCCAAAAACAGCGGGAGACCCAGGTTTTTGGGAAACCATGATCTAGAGCAAGGATAGCTAACACTGGGCCTGGAAGGCCAGATGCATTACCCCAAGCAAGTTTTTTTTCTCCCCACCCCCACCCTCTCCAACACCCAATAGAATTTGGTGGAAGCTAAAATATATTTTTTAATGTAGACACAGTGATGGGGGCAGCAGAAGGGCTTAAGCCTTTCCACCCAGACCAGTGCCCAGATGGCATTGGCGGTGGCGACTGCCCCTCCCTGGGCATCAGATCAATCGCCAGGTGCCTCAGCTGATTTGCATGGATCACCCAAGGAGGGGAGGTGTGTACCTCTTGTGCGTGAGCATGCGCACAAGAGAGAGCGCATGCATGCAAGACCGTGGGGTGACGCTCACTTTTGCCACACTCATCATTGGCATGCGTCCCCCAGGAGATTAGCTGAGGGGAAATCTGTCCCTCTGGCCAAAAGGTTAGCTACCCCCAGTCTAAAGAATGGCAGGTTCCCCAGCCCTGATCTAGAAAAACTGACTACAGTACTGCGATATTGTGCTCTAGGAAGTACTGGACCAAATCTCTGTGCAAACAAGAAACAAGTGTTACTGACTCCTTGCAACCGATGAGCATACCCTTTTGTCACCAAAAACTTGCATTGATATACGCATAATCCTTCACCCTATGATGTTGAAACAGCAATTTCATGCAATATATGTTGTTTGTGGCA